TCCTCCAACCCCCAACCCAAGCTCCTTGGCCACACTTTTCCCTCCTCCTAATTCCTAAGGATTTAGTACTTTATTATGTCCCAGCAAGAGATAACACTTCCTCCTTGGGAGAAGGAGGAAAGAATCTAACAAGATTCTAGGGCTTCCCTGGTGGCGCAGTGGTTGAGAGTCTGCCTTCCAATGCAGAGGACGCGGGTTCGTGCCCCGGTCTGGGAAGATCCCACATGCCGTGGAGCGGCTGGGCCCGTGAGCCACGGCCACTGAGCCTGCGCATCCGGAGCCTGTGCTCCGCAACAGCAGAGGCCACGGCAGTGAGAGGCCCGCGTACCGCAAAAAAAAAAAGATTCTAACAAATCCAAGATGCTCTTAGGGAGGGTGCAGAAGGGGAAGCCCGTGAGCACTGTTGCATTAATGACACCAATCCCATCACAGCTATGAAACCCCTGCGCTGTGCCCAGACTGGACACCAGATCCAGAAGATCAGATCTGACTAAAGTCAGGAACAGTGTTTGAAAAGCCAGGACAGGTTATAGGTACGATAAGTCAGCTGAAGAAGAATGGGCACTTACAGCAAAACTAGTTCCACACACCCAATTTCTGCCTTACGCCGGGTCCCTCATACTGCCCACTGAACACCAGCCTACACTTCTCCTCCACTTATTACCAGCTCAATAATCCTTGCCATTCTCCATTCAGAATCCATTCTTTCCTTTTATTGGCATAAGACAGCAACATACAATGTCAGAAGCCTCAGCCCAACACTTCTGCTGCCTGCAACTCATTGCTGGAAAGTCTCTTAAAGGAAGCAAAGCTTTTTACTTTGTAGATTAAAAAAAGGAGTAAAATGTAAATACTCTTCTGAGTGATCTACAGTAATACTCAAGGGAGTGGCAAATCTGATGTTCTTCTTAGAAGAGACAAAGCTGAAGAACTGGAGAAGGAAAGAATCTTGAGATAATTTTCTAAGACTTCACACTTTTTCTAGGGCTGAGTCCAGGAGGAACTCTTGATTTCTTTGCCATGTGATGGGGTATAGACCTAGTCAGGGTCACCCATGCATCCATATGTTTCCCAGAGTGGATGTTTTCATTTCCTGCCACAGACCCTAACTCAAAGCTAAACTTCAACCCACAAACTTATGCCACTGTTGTTCACATGCGTGCTGAGGGATGTTCTTGGAAGTTATGAGAAAATGTAATCTATGGTCCAATAAACTTGGGGATTTAATGAACTAATGTACAATTCAAGAGTGCAATAGAAAGTACAGTGTTTCCCTAATACAGCAGTTCTCAGACTGTGGTCTGTACAACTCAGTGAACCAATATTTTCCAAATAATCAATGCATGATGTTACAGAATCATTCATGCTTAAAAGATTCATTAAAGCACAAGACAGACTAATGGATTTTAATATAACAAAGTACAAAAAGGGCTTTGATACGCTTTCAGATGTCATATTGCCACAAAACTTTAAGAAACTACCATTTGTCAAGTTTTGGTATAGTATTAAAGAAAAATATCCACAATTTTCTAAAAAGGTTATAAAATATTTCTCCTTTTTCCTACTACAAATCTGTGTGAGGCCAAGTTTTCTTCATATGCTCAACCAAAACAACATATCACAAAAGAATGAGTGGAGAAGCAGCTGAGAATGAATAGCTGACTATTGATCCAGACATGAAAGAGATTTGCAAAAAACCAAACAAACAAAAAGTAAAACTATGCCACTCTTATCACTAAATTTTTGGGAAAATACAATTATTTTTCACAAAAAAATATTGTTTAGGCTTACATATATGGGGCTCATTTTGTTTTTCAATAAATTAAAACCTTTATAATTTTTCAGTTTTAATTTCTAATATAAAATATTAATAGATATAACCCACATGAAACTCTTTGGGATACTCGATACTTTTTTAGAGTGAAAAGGGTCTTCAGATCAAAAAGTTTGAGATGCTTCCCTAATATATTTTGATCATGGAAGCCTTTCTGTGTGGAACACCTTGAGCATATTCTATGGAACATACAATGGGAAACAGAGTCTCATGTTGTGCTTATCAAACTATTCCTCGGGGCTTCCCTGGTGGCACGGTGGTTGGGAGTCCGCCTGCCAATGCAGGGGACACGGGTTCGTGTCCCGGTCCGGGAAGATCCCACATGCCACGGAGCAGCTGGGCCCGTGAGCCATGGCCGCTGAGCCTGCACGTCCGGAGCCTGTGCTCCGCAGCGGGAGAGGCCACGGCAGTGAGAGGTCCGTGTACCGCAAAAAAAAACCCCAAAACAAAACAAAACAAAAAACTATTCCTTTTCGTGTCTCTTCTCCCTAGACCTTCTGCAATAAGTTAATTTATATGCTGCTCAAAGGGTTTCCTCTCACACAGTAGTTTTGTGCTTATGACCCTGGCAGTAAATGCATATATCTTTTCTGGCAAATACAGGTGGATACTGACTTCATTTATTTAGAAGAGGCCATAATCTACAGAATTATTTCACTGAGCAAATGCTACAAATAGGAGAAATGATGACATAGGTTAACATGCTCCTATAGCAGATAATCTGCTATGAGATACCGTGCCAGGATGTCCCAAGAGCATAAAGGATATCATGTCAGCTAGATCGGGGCCAATTTGGTTTACCATTCAGTTTCCGACAACAGGAGGATCACTGACTGAGATGCTTATGTTACAAACTACTCTTTTATAAAACCAGCAGGATGACAGTAATTTATTACTCTGAGTACTGACAATTTGTTTGTAAAAACTGTAAGCAAGCCAAAAATAACTTAAGAACAGATTCATATTTCTACCGTGGCTTTTTGGAACACAGAGGAAGGCCAATTCTTTACTTTCAGCACGACTCGAAGCCCCAGTTCCAGAATTTAGTTATAAATCTCTCCTCCTGTCAGGTAGCTGAATAACTGGCTAGAAGCCTGTTCTCAGATGGCTATAAAAGATTTTGGGCAAGAGTCAAAAGTGTAAAGTGTTGAACAACTATTCCATGCAAAAACTCCCCCCAAGGAAACCCAGTCCTTCTATAGAGCTGGCACGGAGTACGGGCTGTTCAGTCCTCTAATTTTCATTCTGGAATTTACCCAAATAAGAGCAACCATTAAATTTACTTATGCAGTTTTTTAAGTGTCTAGTTTATAAAAATGTTGCTCAAGGATGACCAGGATCTCATCCTGAGAGCTGAAGACACTCATCTTGGTCTCTTTTTCTTTTTACTTAAGACTAGAAGTGAAATTAGCATGTAATCTGCTTCTGGTAAAACTTTCTTTAGTGAAAAATTTTTATAGCCATAAATGCTTACTAGTTTTAGGTTCCATTCTAGTTCATTTAGTCCTCCCAGCAACTCTACAAGATAGAGACTATAATTATCCCCATTTTACAGATAAGGAAACAGGCTCAGTGTTGCCTGAGGCCACCTAGTTTACAGGTGGCAGATAGGACTAGAATCCCGGAAGTTAGTCCCTCTGAACCGGGATGCTGTCCCACCTGAGATGCATGATCAATAAATCGAATGCTTTTTATTAAGAAGATATCCTATTCTGTGCATAAAATAGTGGTTTTTAGCTCCAGATGAGCCATTATTTCAAAAAGCCTTCCTTACACTCCAGTGTGTTAAGCCCCATTCTCCGTCTTCCCATCACGCCCTGTCCACAGACCACGTGGTATTTACCTGCTGCCCTTCTGTCTCCCTTCTAGCCTGTACTACATCCTCCCACCCAGTACCTGGAGCAACAATCTGAATGAGTGAGAGAACCAAGGAAAGAACAAACAAAAGTGAGTCTCCACAAATCCACTTAGTCACGAAGAACATTAATTTCCAAATGAGGTTCGTGCATCATGGAGGGTATGCAAAAAAAAAACCCAGTGGGGTGCAGGGAGAACACATTAGCATTTCTCTTTCTATTCACTGACATTTACCACAAGGATTGGCACTAGCATCCTCAGAGTCTGCTCCAGTGCGTGGGGCAGACGGCCACACAGGCCGGCGAGGCACTCAAGGCCTAGCATGGGCATTCCTCAGCTTGTGGGGTGAGCAGCAAGGCCCTCACCTGCTTGCTTGCTTTCTGTAGCCAGTTTACATGGGCCGAACTGAGAAAGTGGCTGTCGGGATTATATTTTCAATTGTATCTAAAGTAACCCTCACAAAACGGCCAGGTGGCTTTGAATGAGTCCCGCACAGAACTGCAAAAAAATGCTAGCAACAATACAAGCACAAATAAATGGGAAAATAGTACAGCTGGCGATATTGTTTTTTACCATTTCTCATATAATATCTTTCTCACCCGTATCATAACATATAACAACAAGCTGGTCAGATCAGACATGAAGTTAGCCAAAAAATACCAAAAAAACAAAAAACCTGAAAGTATCAAAACTTAGATCCATATCCACTATTTTTTACCAATGGTCTCTGCCTAAGTGAATATGATACCTTGGGAAACTGCCTAATAATACTCTTCTACAGCTTATAAATAAATATATTTTTGTTAACAAGATCAAAAATGTGGAGCTCGCTGATCTAAAACTTTGCTACTCCAAGTGCAACCTTCAAAGGAGCAGCGCCCGCGTCACCTGGAGGCTTGTTAGAAATGCAGACTCTCAAGGTCCATCCCAGACCGACTGAATCAGATTTTGCATTTTAACAAGATCCCCAGGTCCTTCATAGGCACATCTCTGTCTGCGAAGCACTGCTTTAGAACACACATCTTAAATGATCTGAATCCTAATAGTTCAGCTCTTATGTATACGCTTAGAAAGATTTCTCTGTTGAAGTTTTGAACTCATAAACTTCTCATTTTAATACCTATTATCAAATGTTCTTCAAGACTATAAAGAACTATCCCCATGAACCAAAAATCCAGTGAAATAATCTATGTACAACTAAAGCATTAACTCCTTATTAATTCCAGTATCTTAAAATAAATGTTCTGATCCTCTACCACAAAAACTATCCAGCCACACCTTCATCTTTTTGATCCCCACCTCCACTTACTTTTGTTTGACCATCGGCTTTGAACACATAGCAGATACTCTGCTGACTGGCTGCATCGTCTTTAATCAGACAAGCAAAATAACTTGGGTCGTGACTGTTATGAATCAGTCTGTGAACTCGCTGAGGCTTACACTCGAAGATGCTGGAACAGATCAGTGGATCCCATTGTTGGCTTTTTCCTGGCTCAGGCTCACATCTCAGTCCGGAGGGCGAAACGCAAAGGTGGACTTGCTTGGTACCAGACTCCTTTGTGGAGGACTGCCCGCTGAGCCTTCGCACCTCTGCCACGACCCAAGGCAGCATGGGCATGGTGGTCAGAGAATGCACGGGTAAGAAGCCCACCAGCTGGAGGCTAAATTCCACCGAGACCTCGCTAGGAAACGGATGTTTCCTTGCTGTGAAGGTTATTGGTTCCATGTTGGGAAAGGTCTGGAAACTCAGCAAAACATTGCCACTGTTTTCTAGTTTAGACCAAACAATCTATTTTACATGCTTCTGATGCAGAATCCTGCAGGAGAAAAACAGAGGCATTAGAATTTAATGAAGTCGCAGCATTTCAGAGCTTAAGAGGCTGAAGCCCAAATAGAGGAAGAAATAGATATTAGTTCACATACGCTGCTCTGCCTAGAAAGAGCTTTCTTGAAATCGTATTACATATGAAACCTGAAAATGCCGTAACTGTCACGCTCACTACGGGTTACAAAGATCCCACCGGGAAGACTCCGGTTAAACATAAGCCTCATAGAGCCAACAAAGGCCAGCACCATAGAAACCAATATAATGCTGCTTGGACGGCTTTAAACCCTGCTGCATTATTTAACATACTTTCAAGGAATTTTTTAAGATGATCAAATTCAGTACTGGTGGCTTCCCCCAAGAAAGTAACCTTACAAGAAAAATATATCAGCTCTCTATCATCACAGTCTATTGAACCAGTCCAGTTTTCAACAACTGACCTTATCACTTATGATACCACTGAAGCTTTAAAACGCTCTTCCTGACTTCCCTGGCGGTCCAGTGGTTAAGACTCTGAACTCCCAACACAGAGGGCACGGGTTCCACCCCTGGTCGGGGAACTAAGATCCCACACGCCACACGGCCGCGGCCAAAAAAAAAAAAGGCTCTCCCTGATGTAGCCCAGAGGTTCTGAATCACCAATTCAAATTCCAGTAACGTGTACTTGGCAACTATCATGTTCTGAACACCATCATAAATATTTTGTTTCATTCACGTACTACAAGCACCCCAACACCTTGCATCTCCTCATCAATAGAGGGTGTTTCCTGTACTACGACCCAAACTCACTCAGTGGGAAATTTTTCCTTCTCTATGGGTGATTTTCAAAAACCACATTTGACGTATCTTAACACCCTCCTGCTCCATTGGATGACAAAACCCTTTTGTCCAAAGCTGAGTTGTCTACAGGATCTCAAGCTCTATTCGTTACTCGTTTGCTCCCTGGACCTTCATTCTCTCATGTATTCCCTGATCATATATACACACACTAAGAAGAAATTCTATGAAGACGGAGACTGCATCTTATTCACCCACAGAGCCTGACTCAGAATAGGCTCAATAGATATTTTAAGAGAGTGAATGAAGTCTCTCTCCCATCCAAAAAAAAAGATATTTTCCCTTGACCTCAAACCTCCCCCGGCCTCAACTCCTCTTTCCCTATACAACTGTCTCCAAGGTAAAGTCTACACTTGCTGTCTCCACTCCCTCCTGCCCATCCACAATCTAGATTGCAGCCAGAAGTAATGAAGAGGCCCCGCAATTGCTCCCATTGGGGTCGCCCACATCCTCTGGTTGTGAACTTCAAAGGGGGACTTTTAGTCCTTAGTTGCCTTGTCCCTTCTGATGAATTTCTCAATGTTGACCACTCCATCCTGCTTGAAACTCTCCTGGTTCTCCTCTTACCTCTCTGGTTGCTTCTTTTCAGCTCCTTAATGGCTTTTCGCCCCTGCTTGACTCCATCCTACCCCCCTCATTCCACCTGCATCCTTTGGACAATTTCACCTAATCTCTTGATGTCAGTGACCACATTCTAACACTCCTGCTGCCACTGATAACAGCTTACTTTCATTAGGTACCAGGCACTTTGCAAGTGTTCTCATTTCACTTTCATAACAACCTTCATCTCTCACCTTGGTCTCAGTTAGAGACTACTATTATTGCCATTTTTACCACTTAGGAAACTGAGGTCCGGAGAGCATGAGTCGCTTATCACAGGTGATTTGAGTTTGCACCTGATTCTCAACCTGTCCTCCTGAATGCTGCACAAGAATGCATCTACCACGTAAACCCTGATGATTCCCATATGTTTGTCTCCTTCCTGAGTTCCAGATCAGGATAGTCTATTAAGTATTTCTATCTGGATATCCTACCCAGATAGCACCTCAGCCTCAATTTAGCTGTTTTAAAACTAATTCAGTCTCACCTCCCTCCTTTCCAGAACTTCTCTTCCTTCCCATAAGCTACATGTCTGCAACAGCATCACAATTTATTTTATTGGCCCAGTCAAAAGCCAAGGAGTCACAGCTGTAGACTGAATGTTTGTGTCCATCCTCCCTCCATTCATATGTTGAAATCCTAACCCCCATTGTGATAGTGTTTGGAGGTGGAGCCTTTGGGAGGTGAACCCATATGAATAGGATTAGTGCCCTTATAAGAGACCCAGAGAACTCTCTTTCCCCTTCTACCATGTGAGGACACAGGGAAAAGACAGCAGTCTACGAACCAGGAAGCCAGTCATCACCAGATACTGAATCCACCAGCACCTTGACCTTGACCTTCCCATCCTCCAGAACGTGAGAAATAAGTTTCTGTTGTTGGAAACTACCCAGTCTGTGATGTTCTGTGACAGCAGCCTGAACAGACTAAGATAGTCATTCAGATCCCTTCTTCACCGTATCACTACTTCTAAACTGACTTCACATCTAAATATATCTTATCTTTTCTCAGCTGGAGAAAAGGTACCCCCATCTTCAATCCAGCCTTCACATATTTCCTAGAGTAATTCAACTAACCCATAAAATGGATCACGCCACTCCTCTGCTAAAATTCCTTAATCACAGCCCCCGTAAAGTCCAAACTCCTCTACAAGGCATTTAGGATCTCTTCAGAATCTGGTCCTGTCCATATCTGCAACTGCATATTCTCCCCTAAAATGCCCTCCTTCATGCACTTTTTGGCTCTGAAGATAGGTAAATAGGCACAGTTCCCCATATGAGATATGATTTCTCACACCTCTGTGCTGCAGTGCATACTGTTCCCTCTCCGAGGAACACAATGCCTGTCACCAACTGTAGAGGGCCTGAGAATTTACCCTACTTGCAAGCTAACAAGTCAGGCTGCCACCAAGTTAGGCTGCCACAAGTTAGCCTCCTGGTAGAAGACAGGAGACCGCCAGGTCAGAGACAAGGGACCATTTATTACTCAGAGCAATAGCAGTAGCCACAGAGGCAGCATTTCTGCTGGTTCCCTGACCCTCGGTCCCCACAGGCAAGGTGACACCTGTATCCACAGTGGGTTACAGGAAAGGCACCTGAGTTTCGGGGGACTGAATATTTTACAGTGGGGAGTAAGCATGTCTGTCCTTCAATTCTGGAGTGTCCTCCAGAGAGAGAAACTATTTCTATCTTCCATGGCTGCTGCTGTTGGAAAAAAAAAAAAAAAAAAATTGAAAAGGTAGTCCAGAACAAAGTAGTCAGTGCCTCTGCTCACAAAATAGAGTCATGATAGACCCAAGAAGACTCTCCCAATGACTCCCACTCTTGTCCTCTAACCTAATCCCAACTCATATACAAGCCCTAGTTCAAGCAACTATCACCTCTTCCTTCCAAGGTGATTTAGGGCATCCATCACCATGTCCTGCTGCACTCTGTACCTATCATCATATTTACTTTTAAAAGTTTGAATAGGTTTCCCTCAACAAGTCTGTAAGCTTCTTAAACTCATAAGGTTTGGGGTCTCTAAAACCAGTATTCAAATTCTAAACCTTTTCTGAACTAGAACTGAAGTCTATTCTTTTTACTCTATGTTTTTGTGTGTGATATATATGCATATATCCTAAGAATTAATTCTTATAATATAATTTGAACATAGTTAAGGGCTAATTTTTTAACTTTAAATGTTCAAAAGTTCAGAAATAAACCCATATTTTATTTAGAGTGCTAAAGTATTTCATGAAAGTGTATTCCCTGTCTCTTTTCCTTTAAAGTACAGTTTCTCTTGATGATGAAAACAGACTTGAAGTTCATATAACCCCATAAATAATGATCTCTCTCTCCTTTTTTTTCTCTCACCTACACGTGAAAGTGGCATTAAATGTCTGGCTCAGCTTCCACTCCTATAACTGAATCTGTTTTAAGTCCTAACTGTTGACAGCTGGTAATCCCAAGACATGTTTAAAGCAGTACTAGAATTATTACAAAAGATAGACCCAAGGGCTATCAATTAGTGTAGATGAGGCAGTTATTAATATCATGGCAACAAGCGTAGCAGAATTACTTTGTTTTCTTGTAAGGGAATATATGCATAATGCAAAAAAAATTACACAATTTAATTGTTTGAATCATTTGGTAAATAATCAGTCATCAAATTAGTTCTGCCATTTCACTGACAAAACTATTTGGATGTCTTGAGTTTTCACTTTTCAACCGGCTGGAGCACATCATAGTTTCTTTGTAAAAAATAGATTGGACATTAACACAGTTAATAAACTATCAAATACTAAGTTCTACTTCAGACATAGTCATAATTATTTATAAACAATTCAGATTCTGCTGACATAAGATTCATGGTAACTTAGACTAGGTAATTATTTACTGTTCAATAAAAAGTTCCATGAGGATTAGATAGCAAGACGGCAGAGTAGAAGGACGTGCTTTCACTCCCTCTTGTGAGAGCACCGGAATCACAACTAACTGCTGAACAATCATCGACAGGAAGACACTGGAACTCACCAAAAAAGATACCCCACATCAAAAGACAAAAGAGAAGCCACAATGAGATGGCAGGAGGGGCACAACCACAATAAAATCAAATCCCATAACTGCTGGGTGGGTGACTCACAAACTGGAGAACACTTATACCACAGAAGTCCACCCACTGGAGTGAAGGTTCTGAGCCCCATGTCAGGCTTCCCAACCTGGGGGTCCGGAAACGGGAGAAGGAATTCGTAGAGAATCAGACTTTGAAGGCTAGCAGGATTTGATTGCAGGACTTCGACAGGACTGGGGGAAATGGAGGGCACACACAAAGTAGTATGTGCATTGGGACCCAGGGGAAGGAGTGGTGAGCCCATAGGAGACTGAACAAGACCTACCTGCTGGTATCGGAGGGTCTCCTGCAGACGTGGGGGGTGGCTGTTTCTCACCGTGAGGACAAGGACACTGGCAGCAGAAGTTCTGGGAAGTACTTCTTGGCGTGAGCCCTCCCAGAGTCTGTCATTAGCCTCACCAAAGAGCCTGGGTAGGCTCCAGTGTTGGGTCGCCTCAGGCCAAA